TTCTGCACCCCACTCTGTCTCTGGTGAATCCTCTTACCCACGGCATCTCTGGCTTACACCCCAGCTCATGTATGCATAGATAAATAAATAAAATAAATCTTCTAAAAAAAACTGATTTTTTAGCAATGTATTTAGTTAAGTCAAGAAATTGTTATAAACAAATGTAAGTTTGATGGAAAATGAAAACTAATTTTTTTGTCAGCATTTACAGTCCTCCAGCACAATAGAAAGGAATACAACTTATTTGGTACCTTAGCACAAAATTGTATGTACTTAATCCTCATAACAGTACAAATTGTATGTAACCAAAACAAAAGTTTCAAGAAGCTACACTTTGATGCATTCTGATATTTGGTGTTCAATTTCTGGGGGGGAAATATCAGTTTTTTAAAAAGGCTTATGTATTGGCGCAGAAGACCTCTCCTGTCTCACCTTTTGCTCCGCTTAGCGGTGTACTTCGTCTGTTCTGCCTGTTCTGCTCCCCACTCTGTCTCTGGTGAATCCTCTCACCCCCCACACCTCTAGCTTGTAACCCAGTTTATGTTTGCATAAATAAATAAATCTTTAAAAAAAAAAAAAGGCTTATGTATTTATGTATATAAGAATTCGGTTACAGGCCAGTGGTGCATGGGATGGGGTGAGAGGATTCACCAGAGACAGAGTGAGGTACAGAACAGGCAGACTGACTGAATACACTGGTAGGGAGCAGCAGGTGAGTCAGGAGAGGTCTGCCACACCATGTGGGTCACTTCCCTGGCCGGGAATCAAACTTGTGCTGCAGTGGCTGTTGACTGCTTCACGGTGCTGTGCTTTAAACTGTTGCACCACCAGGAAGGGCCCCCCGAAAATGTCAGTTTTTATCCACTAGTGTTTTAAGATCTGGCAGTCTGAAAATACTGCTCTAACACATAAACCATGGAGACCAAGAGACTGACATGTGTTGCTTAATATTAACAATGAACGTTCTCATAGAAATTATTATCATTTCAAACATTTCATAAATCTCAAAACCAAATAGATCCAGATTTCATTACCTGTGTCCTTGTAATTTCCTAGTGGTGTCAACTCTGGAAAAGATGTTTGACTTCTACAGTCTGTACTTTGTTGTTGTAAAATGGACCGATTGGGGGAAATACACCTTTCCTAGAGTTCTTGAAAAAGATTAAGTGTGGGCCCTTTCTGGTGGTGCAACAGGTTAAAGCACAGCACTATGAAGCTGTCAGTCACTGCAGTACGAGTTTGATCCCTGGCCCTAAAGGTGACCCACATGGCGCAGCAGACCTCTCCTGTCTTGCCTGCTGCTCCCCTCAGCAGTGTATTTCAGTGCATCTGCTTGTTCTGCTGCCCACTCTGTCTCTGAATTCTCTCACCCCCTGTACCTCTGGCCTATACTCTAGTTCTTGTATATATAAATAAATAACTTTTTAAAAAAAGGATTAAATGAGATGAGGTCTATCAAATTCTTAGCTAGCACAGTGCCCAGCTGAAAAGACTTTAATAAGTGATAACTATTTTTTATAACATGAACTCATGTTTAAATTCTATCATGTCAGTGTTTCAAAAAACCCAGAGTGGAACTGAAGGATGGTGTCTCCAGTATCTTCTTTCTTTTCTTCTCCCTATTTGTTGTGATGAGCAGCCTGCGGGTGTACCCTGCTGTCTTCTGTTGCTGCTCAGTGCAACGGTACCCGGCTTCCCAGCAGCTGCTGATGGCACTGGCAAGAGTGCCATTTGGCAACATGGAGAGTTCTGGCAGGCTGGGAGGTGTTTGTTGTTGAAGACTGCCTTGGCATAATCCTAGGTAAAAGAGGATGCCTGGGGTTTCTGACTGATTCATCTCTTTAGTGTGGAACTCTGCATACACCCATCTGACTTGGGGAAGGCCCGAAGAGCCCTGGGGGGCTTTACTGCAGACCATTCTGCCTGTGAAACCCTTTGAGCCTCTTTTTTCATGTGAAAAACTTTGGCTTTTGTGAAAATAATCAGAAAGAAAAATGTTTTGATGTCTTTGGCACAATTAAAATGTTTTTTCTTTCTCTCTCTTTTTTTAAAGATTTATTATTATTTATTTATACATACAAGAACTTGGGCTATAAGCCAAAGGTGCAGTGGGGGTGGGGGTTGGTGAGAGATTCAGCAGCTCATCACAACAATCCCATCCACTAGGAGTCAGGGTCGGGGATGTCTTTGCTTTCCCTGCACAGGTACTTAGGGACTTGGGCTGCAGGAGGTGCCACTATCTCACAGCCATTAGGACTCTGTGTCTTCCAGGCCGCCATGACAGCGAGGAGAACTTGAACCCACTCTGCCCAGATGAGATAGTCATCGTGCTCACAGCTTATTTATCTCCACTGGTCTCATGATTCTGCCTAACTGCAAAGGTCCTGGAAATGGGGGAGAACATATGGAATGTTGATGAGCATTCCCAGGAAGAAGGGGTGTATGGCATTAAGTTTGTTAACACTCCATGTTCAAAAAAGTGCAGCTTCTTACTCTCTTGAGCTGCCAAGGTTCATTACCGTCCCAGCTTTCTTAGCTTCCACAGAGGCTGTCATGGCAGCAGCTTTCATTGCTCACCTGGTGGGAACAGGTAAGCTGTTGCCAACACTGAGCAATGGGTCCATGAGCAGAGCAGCAGATAATAGAGAGGAGAAATCATGGGGGCAACTGTGATCTAATCAGTGGGCTCTGTCCTCCTGGTTACTTGTATGATACACTGAAAAATACTCCCCTCTGCCCACGGAGGTTGGAAGCAGTGGATGTTGCCTTATGTTGCAAAGGGATTTTGTAGATGCTATAAAATTAAGGAGCCTGTGATAGGGCAGGGCATTCTGAATTAATTTGGGACTCCTAAATGCTATCATATGTAGACTTAACAAAGGAAGCAGAGGGAGATTTGACTTTGACAAGAGAAGGCAGTGGACTCCAAAGGCACACAGGAACTGGAACGATGTAGTTTCAAATCAAGGAATGCCAACAATGACCAGAAACTGAAAGAGGCAAGGAGGGATTGCCCTGAGAGCATTTGAAGGGAGTGGGACTTTCCTAACACCTGACTGTGGCCAGATGACCTTCTGACCTTGGGAACTACAGCAAATAAGTTTCTGTTACCTTGAGCCACTGAGTTTGTGGTGATTTTTGACAACAGTCACAGAAACAGATATATTTCGGTGCCCCGTTTCTTGGTGGTGAGTCATGAGAACCCAAACTGAATGGATTCACTTCTATCAGACAGAATGGAGATGGTCAGGGCAGACTCATCAAGGAACACAACCCTAGTCTCACCTACCATTATTTACAGCTCTCAGAGATCAGCAGAGGATGGCAGCCCGTCCCCAAATGCCAAGTCTATTCACACCATATCTGGATTTCCTTGTTCCCCTGTCTCAGCTACCTTGTTCCACGTAATAAAAACACAAGGTAACCAGTCAGCCGAAAAAACCAAGTAGCTTCTATATTTACCCCACAAAAAGCTCGTGGTCTCTGAGCGACTCCAAACTGTTCCTGTGCTCATATGTTTCCAGAATTGTAGGCTGGAATCCTGGCAATAAACTCACCTTTTTGTTTGCTTCAGCATGCAGAGTTTGGTTTTTGACATTGTTCACTGTTGCCCTTCAAACGCGTGTCCCGAGGAACTGGTACTAGTAGAGCTGAGAACTGAGTGGCTGGGAGTGGGGTGAAAGGGAGCTCTTCCATGTGTGCTCTCTTTGTTCAACTCTGTAAGTTTGAGCCATATGGACGTACCACCTGTTTAGAAAATAACATCAATCTTCATGGCCTTGCAAATGCTATTGTAGAGGCATGCGGTTGATTTTATTCACTTTGCTGGATCACACTCAGTGTGGTTTGTATTCTAAGGAATGTATTATGACTAATTCCTTTCAAAATGTTGTCCCACGGGCCTTAGCATCCCACCTACTCCAGTTTCTTCTCTCTCCATTCTCATTTCCACTTCTGATACTTGGATTTGATCAGTAGTGAGAAAGAATTATATTGAGAAAAATGAGTGATGCAATAGTGATAACTTTAAAATTTTTAAATGTAAATTAATTAAAAGTCACCCCAGAATTGCCGCTCCAAATCAGTGAACAGAGCTGTAATTTCCGCACCTCTGGGAGTGCTGGATGAGGGCCAGGATAGCCAAGTGCCTGGGCTTTTGGTTCCACTTCAAGAATAGCGTCCCTTGATGCCAGCATGCTATGTAAATATTATTATTTTCAGTGTGTGCCGTGATGTGGAAAGGTTCCTAAATACTGCTTTAGGTAAAATGTAGCCTTCTATTTTAAAAATTTATGTTGCATAAAAATAGCTATGGAAATAGCTGGGTCTTTGGGACAATTCTAGTGATGGTTCTGCTTCAGTGCAGTGTGTCCCCAGTCTTCCTTCTACTGTGACACTTGTGATAAGGGAACTTGTGACCTGGAGTTCTGCAAAGCCCAGGCAGCTGGCTCGGATTCAGAGTCTCCCACACAAACCTCCAAAAAGACAGAGTAGCATTTTAGGGAAGGATTTTGAGTTCATGCTTAGATTTTTACCAGGATCTAATCCTTGAACACTTGGGTTTGTCCACAGTCTGTAGGAAAACAGTCCTGATGCACCTCTTAATGGATATCACAGTTGAGGGCCTCTGTCCTCATGGAATAAGTGACAATGCATATCATGCCACCTGAGTAGAAGCTCCTTTCAACCCACCCAGTAAGAGACAGGTTTCTTTTTTAAGTATTAGTGACAAGCAAAAACAGGAAAAAGTTCATGGTATTCCTTGGCATGCATAAATAAAAATTTTATTAAATTGAAAATCCATTTGAACTGTAATCTTTGTGGTTCTGTGGTGTCCTGGTTGGGTCTGATGATGTTGGTATGGAAATACTGTCTGTTCTTTATGTTTTCTGTAAAAATGACTGAATCTGTATGTCAGTGTAGTACTATCTGAAGAAATCTAAGAGCTATTCAAATGCTTAAAAATAAAATGATCAATTCTTCTTTTGTTCTCTTGACAGGATAATTGAAGCTATCTGCATAGGTTGGTTCACTGCAGAGTGCATCGTGAGGTTCATTGTCTCCAAAAACAAGTGTGAGTTTGTCAAGAGACCCCTGAACATCATTGACTTACTGGCAATCACGCCTTATTACATCTCTGTGTTAATGACAGTGTTTACAGGTGAGAACTCTCAGCTCCAGAGGGCTGGAGTCACCTTGAGGGTGCTCAGAATGATGAGGATTTTTTGGGTGATTAAGCTGGCCCGCCACTTCATTGGTCTTCAGACTCTTGGTTTGACTCTCAAACGATGTTACCGAGAGATGGTTATGTTACTTGTCTTCATTTGCGTTGCCATGGCAATCTTTAGTGCACTTTCTCAGCTTCTTGAACATGGGTTGGACCTGGAAACATCCAACAAGGACTTCGCCAGCATCCCTGCTGCCTGCTGGTGGGTGATTATCTCTATGACTACAGTCGGCTATGGAGATATGTATCCGATCACAGTGCCTGGAAGAATTCTTGGAGGAGTTTGTGTTGTCAGTGGAATTGTTCTGTTGGCATTACCTATCACTTTTATCTACCATAGCTTTGTGCAGTGTTATCATGAGCTCAAGTTTAGATCAGCCAGATATAGTAGGAGCCTCTCCACTGAGTTCCTAAATTAATGCAATGCAAATCAATTCTTGCATACACTCTGGTGGAAAGAGTTGATGCTACTTCATATTCATGCATTTCCTGCTTGGTGAGCAATGCAGAGGTACTGTCATCATCTCGGTAGAGTAAAAATTATCCTTCCCAGCTGAAGGGATAAAACAATTTACTTATTATGGAGTAAATAGGATTGAGACTGCAGAGGAAAAGTAATGACAGAGGAAATTTTAGGTCTTATTTTATTTAGACTTGTCTCCTCCTTGCCTCGATCCATCACACTTTTTTTTGTTTGTTTTAAAGTATATTATTTGAACATTTTAAAACTGAAAGCGTCTATTTTCCAAATGTTGTTTCATCTGATGAATTCAGAAGAAGCTTGGAAGTTACGGTGTTTTTTTTGTCAGAGAGTAACATTTTCATCTCTAAATGTTTTATAATCTTGCATATCAATGTCAGAAGTATCCTAGAAACATATGTCACATGCAGGAACTGTTTAACAAATACTTAAAAACTTGGCGAAATTTTAAACTGTGTAATGGAGCTAGAGACACACAGGACTAGTACTTGAAAAACTTTTGCAGCCTATTTCTCAGTTCTCTAATTTACTTTTGACCCTATTCACCTTATCACACAGCTTCATGAAGCTTGAGTTTGTTCTTCCTTTCCATTTTGGATTTCTTTCATATCTCTATTGAAATGACTTAAATGTGTATTTCAGAATGGAGAGAACTTGTATCACTTCTTTGCATTTTCTTGGTGTTCATTTTCTTTGAGTTCATTATTGTTACTAGGTAATAATTGTCCCAACATTCAGATGTCCAATCAAGATTTCCAATGTAAAGATGATAATAGACATAGTTTGATATTATAATTCATGTTGATCATCTTCTACTCCTATTTTTACCCCCAGAAACAATGGGTTTAACACTTACCAGTTGAAAGGATGTTCTTGTAGCCTTTTGATATTAAAGCCTTGATTACCATTAAAATAAAAAGGGAATATTTCCGTACTCTTAGTTGCTGTATAGCTAAGACAATGTTACGCTAGCTAAAAGCAATGAATACATAATGATTTGATCTGATCATTATCATTATGAATTATACCTACACTAATACTTGTAACAATATTGAATAATATGCCACTTTAATCTGGCTAGATTATTAGGACTAGATAATGTAAAACTGATGATTATTTAGTGCAGCATTTTAGCTGTGTGAATTAGGTTTTGCTTTGTTAACCAGTTGCTATAAAGAAGTCAATATATGAACACAGAAAATTAAAGTCATACATTCATGAATAATTTAATACTGTACATTGTAACTTAGTTGGAGTGGAGAGGTCATAGGGCCTGGGTATACCTGTCAAAGGAAAGGCTACCGAAAGTGTTCTTTAAGGGATTATTAGTCATTATCTAGTTCAAATCTTGACTAGAACAGGTAGAAAGCCGGGGCAAAAGAGGAGATGATTATGAAGGAGTCAGGACTAAAATCTGGTTCTCTAGAAACCTAGCCTACTACCTTATTCTTAACATACTTCTGGGTTTTGAGAAAAGTTTGAGAGGCCACTGTTCTTTGCTGTTGCAATTGTTTGAGATAATAAAAGCAAAACTATTCCTTTTTCTGAATTTCCTTCCCTGAGTTTGTGATATTTTGGCTATTCAGAATCTCACCCATCTTTCCTGCTTCTGCAGGCTAATATGCTACTTGTTATATACTCAAAATAAATTCTGTTACTTATTCTATATTTATTGTATTTTGTTATATTTGAAATAAATGGTATGGATTTATTTTTCTCTTGCCTATGTAAACGAAGACTGTGCTTAATGCAAATAATATGCAGATGATAGCATTCCCATATTACTAATAAAAATATAGCCATCAATTTTGTTGGCACTGGGAACTCTTCACGGGAATATGTCTTACTTCCCCAAGTATATCATATCTTGAGGGCTTTTGCACACATCTTCATATCCCCACAGAATCTATGAAAGACTTGGATACAACTTAGTGAAGAGGCAAGGAGAAACACACACACACCAACATACATACACATATAACCTTATGTGTGAGTGTGTGTGTATATACACATAAACACATGTATAAGCATATACCTATATATACACACATGTATAGCCATTTGTGAACACACACAGACTTTAAGATTGCCCTTAAGTAACAAATTTCTTGTTGGCAATGCCAGACATAGGCTTAATATTTTCTAGGCTTAATATTTTCTAGGCTTAATATATTCCTTTTTCTGTAGAAATAAAAAGTTAACCCCCCAAAACTCCTATCTCTGTTTCACTATTAAACTTGCATAACTCCAAATATAACACGCAGGCTTCGCAAGGTATTTCCTGAGCCCTCTGAGCAACCATGCACCTAGGTATTCAACATACCTAATCCGATCAGACATGATGTGACTATTTCATAGGGTCCTAGGAAATTAGAACTAAAGAACCCTGGAGAACTTTGGGTTTACCGTGTCCCCTTTCTGTACCACTTTATACAATCCAAGTGTTAACCAGCAAACTGTGTTCCCAACGGGCTGTGATTAAGCCACTGCCACCCATGGGGAAACCAAGTTTGCCTGGGACTTTCTCAGTTTTGGTACTGAAAATCCACCATGCTGGACCCTGAGACTCTTAGTCTTAGGTAACTGGAATCGGTGATCATAGTAGCATCAGCTCAGGGCCCGGGTACTCGTGTCTAGACTTGATTCGGCTATACTACTTTTTTTTTTTTTTTTTGGTAGAATCAGCAGGTGAGGGATTTCTCTTAAAAATATTTCTTTTGGACTTCGAAGCCCTTTTTTGTAGGTCAAATAGAAATTAACATTGCATTTAGATGCTCTAGAAGTCAAGAAGGTGAACTTAAAATCAATGTGTAAGAAATTCAGATTTTCAATTAGTTTTTAAGTTGCAAATCATCACAGTTGTGCACCTATTTGCTATATTAGTAAGTGCTGCTATTTCGTAGTTATTGCATTATTTAGAAGGGACAGAAGGTTGAGAAATGGTACCACTGAGTATGGAGTAGAAGCTTTAATGGAGTGCTTCCTTGGCTAAAGCTTTAATGGAGTGCTCTGGAGAAGTTCCATGTTGGTCAGAAAAGTCTGTACACACTTCTCAGTTTTGCAGGGTTTTCTTCTTTTCTTTTTGATAACGAGGCCAATCACTTTGTCCCTGAAAGTAAACTAATGATTTACCTTTGTAAGTCATCCACAAGTGTGATTATCTTGTTCTGTTTTAGCATTAATTTTTTTCTTTTAACAGTTCCCCACTTCCACCTGAACTTTCAGATTTTTTTCAATTCTCCTAGACATTCCCTATAAGCACTTACATTTATTTTCAACATTAGCATAAGCTCAATGGTCAGTTTATTATTTGTTTATTTAATATTTATCAATATCAAATTATTGAATTTGAAAATCTGCATCAATGCTGTGATTTGAACAAATTAATTTTAACTAAATTTGGTGAGATTCCTTACATTTATATTTTAAAGTAAAAGAATTCTACCAGCAGAGTGAAATCATGAATGATATTTGATGGATGAGAGAGAATAAATATTATTTTATCAGGATTAAATAATGTTTGTTGTTTATAGCTGAAATAGCACTCTTATTTATGCAATTCTGTGTTAGAACTACAACTAAAAATTCCTGTAATTTTTATGAGGTAGGTTATTTCAATTTAAGTCTGCCCGTGACAGAGTAGAAGCCAAATATAATGCATATTGTTAGAAGGTTTCGTTTATTTTAAAGGAAGATAGTTTAATGTTGTGCCTCATTCAACTGTATTGCTATTGTGTTAATATACAATGATTTTAGTTTTGTTTTATTAATATATGATGATTTATCCAGCTTACATATTACTTTCTATCTGTATGTTATAAGCCTGATCTTACAGGGCTGAGGCAATTTTCATCTCTACAATACAGAGGGCAGGAGAATTTTACTTTATTACTGGAGGGCAGTTGAGTGTTAGAAAAGAGTACGTGGTCATAGCTATTTTTAGAGAGAAACACAAGTGTAGATATGTCTTTTTTTTTTTTTTTTTAAGATTTATTTATTTACTCATACAGAACTGGGGTACAAGCCAGAGATGCGGTGGGTGAGAGGATTCACCAGAGACAGAGTGGGGAGCAGAGCAGGCAGATATATGAAGTACACTGCTGAGGGGAGCAGCGGG